AACTGAAAAAGAAGGTTCTCAAAAATTCAATGATTTGGATGAAAAATTCAAGAAAGTTTACTTTTCAACGGGCTCATCAATTAAGCTTGGTTGGTTAGTGAATCCAGAAGACAAGGAAATATATATTTACAGACAGATGGCTGATGGGGTTATTTATCGAACTTCACATGGCTGGAATAATGTAAATGGTGGCAGTGTTTTGCCAGGATTCACTCTTAAAGTAAAGAAAATTGATGATACAATTTCACAGGTAAGTCTTATTCTTTCTGTTATAATTTTTTTATTATTCAATACTTTTGTTATAAATTCATATATTCCATAACTAGGAATCCTCAGAATCATCATCCTCACCATCAGAAGAAGAATTGCAAATTAGTTGTGCTGTTTGTGAAATAATTTTCACTGATCATTATACATATATGGAACACTATGAAGATGCTCATGCTCGTAGATGGCACAAAAAAGAGTAAAATATGTATCCACATTGTAATTACGGTGTATATCTTTGATATGATTTTTTGTATGTTGTTCCGGTAACATTTTTTATCTTGTTAAATAAAGCAAGGTCAGATACGAAGTGTCATTATTTTGAAGTATGGAAAAAATTTCCAATCAAAAATATGTCAAGTTAATATACATCGATGATTATACAACGTATTCAATCCCGAAATACACATGCAAAAGTAAACGCGATTATATATATATTAATTATTTATTGCAGTAGCGAGTTGCCATATTCTTGTATATGATATGTTATACTTTCTAGCTAAAACGGTAATGTATTTACAGCAATAATATCACTAATTGCTTCGGGTGATAAGTGAATTGTACCTGATCTTAATCTTCTAAAAATTTATATACGGAGAAAAAAAAATGATGAAAAACAGATATATTAACTGATAATATTCTTGGAAAAAATTTTTATTATCGGATATATAGTATTACAAATTCTATAGATAATGATTTGTGGTATAAATCATGCAAAACATCCTATATATGAAGCTTTATAGGTTTTTCCCCCGCTACTTAAATCGTAATAATAATATTTGTGTATGATCATATTTTTTGTAAGATTTTTAATTTGGACCCTTGGCTCACATAAATACATGATCTAAATTTTATGCCTTTGCTGTTATCTCGATGCCTTTTTCTAAAACGGCGGAAACATGAGATTCAGTAGATATACTTACCTCAGTTTCTGATAAAGATTTAACTTCCTCAAATATCTTATCTTCTGAATTAGAGATATGAGTTTGCAGAGCAAGATACGAAGTATCTGTATAATTAGATGTGGTTGAGATACTTACCTTGGTTTCTGGTAATATTGATAGAGACTTTTCTGATCGTGAAGAATTCTTCACGGTTTTTGAGATCACATGATCTATAATATTTTGGATTCGTTGATAAGTGAGGCTTGAAATCGCATCAGCGATATAAGATACTTGTTTAATCTTTTCTACTCCTAATGTATTAAATAACTTATATATTTTTCTAGCTCTAAGGATTTTTTGATGCAAATTTGTATCTGTTATATCAGGTAGAAGTTGTTTGATTTCTTGATATACCATAGATGTTGCGGTTTTTCTTTTAACTCCCCTAATAACAATCTCATCGATTTTTTTGTCATATTTTCTATAAAATAATACCAGCAAAGTATCCCTTCTTGTCCTGATCGAATGGCTTTATAAAATGTATAAACTATGCTTTCCGCTGTAACTGAAGATAAGTCTTGATCTTGAAGCCAATATAAGGTTATAGGAGTAAGTATAGATGTTGACAGTTGTTGTTTTAACTACTGTTCTGTAATTATATTTTTATCCAACTTTATAATAACTTCATGTTCCGATTCAATAAAATCTCCGGTGTTAAGTTTATTAGAGTTATTAAGCATAGTCAATTCTGAATTCTGATTATAGTCTAATGGTAACTTGGATGTATTAACTGAAGATAAGTCTTGGGCTTGAAGCTTCTTTTCCCTATTTCTTTCTCTCATCATATTAGTAACCCTTTCTTTTTCTTTTAAATTCAGAAAATCAATTATTTCTTTATCTTCCGGTGATATAGATGAGTTTGAGACTCAAGACTTCATCTCTTGGGTCAAGCTATATTCAGGCAAAAGATCGGGAATAATAACTTCCTCCTGATAAACTAATCCTTGATAAGTGGTGAAATTTCTTTTGTGGAAGTATTATTAGGATTTATTTCAGGGGGGATAGGCACTTGTAAACTCACTGAAACCTGCGAAATATTAGCGTCCTTGTCTTGTAAGTTTTACTTCTTGATTAGTGAGACATCATATTCCAGTTTCGTGAATCTGCCTTTGTGTTCTTCCAGAGTTTGTTTTAACTTCATATTCTCAGCTTTAATCTCAATATTTTCACCCTTGACTTTGACATATTCAGCCTCAACCTCAGTATACTTTTTTTGAAGTTTGGAAATCTCAGCATTCTCCTTCCTAAAGCTCCCCATAGGCCGAGCCCGGCCAGGCCCTACAGGGCCTGGCTCGAGCCTAAAAATTTAGGCCTGGCTCAAGCCTGGCCTGAGTTTAAATTTCAGGCTTGGCTCAGGCCAAGCCCAGGCCTACTAGGCTCGGCCTGGCTCGAGCCCAGCTCAGGCCCGCGAGCCCAGCTCAGGCCGTGAGCTCAACTCTTAGATTTTATAATCAATAAAATTAATGCACGATATTCAAACGAAATTAACTTCATAAATATCGATGCTAAAAATATGATTTTACTATCTTTGGAAAGCTCTGTTTCTAGGCTTTTTAATGGAAGTTTAATAATTCGTTTAGCATCGATATTCATGAAGTTATTATCATTTGAATATCGTATGAAGTATAAAATTAATGCACGATATTAAAACGAAAATAACTTCATGAATATCGATGCTAAACGAATGATTAAACTTCGATTAAAAAGCCTAAGAGCAGGGCTTTCTAAAGATTACAAAATCATATTTTTAGCATCGATATTCGCCGTGTTATCTTCGTCCGTAGACAATTTTATTAAAATACTTTGGATATATCTTTAAACTTGTATCCTAAGTATTTTAATAAAATTGTTTACGGACGAAGATAACACGGCGAATATTGATGCTAAAAATATGATTTTATAATCTTTAGAAAGCCCTGCTCTTAGGCTTTTTAATCGAAGGTTAATAATTCGTTTAGCATCGATATTCATGAAGTTATTTTTGTTTTAATATCGTGCATTAATTTTATACTTCATACGATATTCAAACGATAATAACTTCATGAATATCGATGCTAAACGAATTATTAAACTTCTATTAAAAAGCCTAGGAACAGAGCTTTCTAAAGATAGTAAAATCATATTTTTAGCATCGATATTCATGAAGTTAATTTCGTTTGAATATCGTGCATTAATTTTATTGATTACAAAATCTAAGAGCTCACGGCCTGAGCTGGGCTCGCGGGCCTGCCTTGGGCTCGCGAGCCTTAACTTGGGCTTGAATCAGGCCCAGTTAAGGCCTGGCCCGGCCTGAGCTTTAACTTCTAGGCCCGTGAGCCTGAAATTAAGTCCTAGCTCGGGCCGGGCCGGGCCTGGCAGGCTCGCGAGCCCTTAGCCCTGTGGGGAGCTTTAAACATGCCGTGGGAACGACATTCCCGATCCCAACTCCGAGTGTTTTCTCATATTATTTAAGAAAGAGCAAGACGGATTGAATGGATAATCCGGATTATTTATTATTAAATCCGGATCATCCGAAGGTTTTAGAAAAAGTGATCCGTTCATCCGTAAGACCACGGATGATCCTTCGGATTGACGGATTAGTTATCCACGGATCATATCTCTACTTTGATTGCTAAAAATTTTCTTCTTTTTTATTACTTTTTTTATTATCAAAATGGTTAGAAAATTATAAAATATGTTAACAAAATAAATAGATATAATATATTGATACTTTATTCTTAATGAAATTTTATTTAGTCCGGACAACAGCAATTGCCGAGTCCTTTAATATTCGATAACCAAATATTTGATTTAGCATTTCACCCTTCACAAAATATTATTGCTACTGGTTCAATTACTGGACAAGTTTTTTGGTAATTATAAGAATAATTATTTAATAATAAATTAATGAACAATAATGATTTAAATAATAATTAGATAAATATATAAATTCTAGTCATCGATATGATATTGAATTTAATCAAAATATTTTATCAGTTCGTCCACATAGAAAATCATGTCGTGGATTAGAATTTAGTCATGATGGATCAGGTATTTTATCATTTATGTTCAAACATTTACAATATTAAATATATATTCATAATATTTTTTATATATAGCTTTATTTAGTGTTTCAAAAGATAGATCAATACAAGTGATTGATTTAGAGACAAGTGCAATTTTGGTAAATAAATCTAAAGCACATGAGTATGTTTTTTTTATTGATTATTTATATTAATTATAATTGAAATAATAATTGAAATAATAATTGAAATAATAATTTGAATGATAATTTGAATGATAATTTATAATATAGAAAACCAATTAATTGTGTATCACTATTAAATGAAAATATATTAGCCACTGGTGATGATGAAGGTTACATAAAGGTTGAATAATTTATTTCCAATTTTATTATAAATTATTATTATAAATTATTATTATTATTATTATTAAATGTGTTAAATGTCATTATTATTATTATATCAAATCACATTACTAAGATATGGGATACACGAACGGGAAATGAATTAATGGAATATTCTGATCATCAAGATTTTATATCAAATTTTGCATTTCGTACTGATACTAAAACTCTAATTACTACTAGGTATTTTTATATTATTTAATTACTTTTATTAATTATTATATTGATTATTTTAATTATTAATCAATAATTATTATAATTATATTATTCTCTGTAGTGGAGATGGTACATTGGCTGTATATGATATACGAAGACCAAATTTGGTTGCCATTTCAGATAATCAAGATGACGAATTATTATCTGTTGCTATAATAAAGGTTTATTATTATCACTATTATTATTAATTATTATTATTAATTATTATTATTAATTATTTAATTATTAATCATTTTATTTATCATTATTAGAATGATAGAAAAGTAGTAGTTGGAACTCAAAATGGAGTAATTAATTTATTTTCATGGAATGAATGGAGTGATTGTAATGATCGATTTATTGGTCATCCCAGTTCAATTGATACAATTGTTAAAATTAATGAAGATTTAATATGTACTGGATCAAGTGACGGAATAATAAGGTATATTATTATTACATATTTATATGATTATGATAATATACTTATGATATATCATGTGGTAGTACATAATTAATAATAATTATTATTCTTTATTATCATTTATTATTTATTTCAGAGTAATTGGAATTCTTCCTAATAAATTTCATGGAATCGTTGGAGATCATGAAGATTTTCCTATTGAACGAATTCAAATCTCTCATGATAATACGTTATTAGCAAGTTGTTCTCATGATAACATTGTAAAATTTTGGGATATTCGTTATCTTTATGATGAAGAAGATGAAGAAGAAGGTGAAGAAGAAGATGATGATGATGAAGAAGGTGAAGAAGAAGATAAAGGTAAAGATGATAAATATGATAATGAAGATGATAAAAAATATAATGTTAAAGATATGAATAATAATATGGAAACAGATGATTATGATACAAATCAAAGAAAAGTTAACAATCAAAATAATTTTTTTGCTGATCTTTGATCATAAATAATATAATAATAGAATGTTAAAAATAAAATAATTTGTATAATTATTATAGAAGAGATTTTATCACTTATATAGGTTTTGTGATGTGACTGCTGAATCTCTCCAAGCAAAACTGAAAATGAAAATTATTTAACAGTTTAATTTATGTTTATTATTTAAAAAATAAATTTATTTATGAAAAAAATCAAAAATTGGCTTAATTGTTTATTATGAAAATCATTTTTCACTAAAAGGGTATAACTGAAAATGTTACCAATTTATATCACATTCGTTTTAACCAAAAACCACGTACGGGTGATAATATAGTGAGGATTTAGCAAACATGTCAACTTCAGTAATTTCAACCTTAAATCAGTCGGGTGAAACTTCAACAATAACAGCACCTAGTAATAATAACAATCGTACAGCGGAATGGGACGTAAAGATGGAAATAGAATTCTTTCGTTCCGTAATGAAACATAGACCAGTTGGTAAGTTTTATAATTTGGATTCGTATTATTCATAATTTATTTCAATAAATAAATAAATAATTAAATATGTATAATTAAATATTAATTAATTTAATTAATTATTATTATTATTTTACAGGAATTCATCGTCATTTTCATATGGTGAATGTTTATCGAGACTTTAACGCAAATAGTAAAGTAAAATGTACGATACCAGAATTATGGGAAAGATTTGGGTCATACTTTAATTTAGCCAAACTTGAGGAATTGGTAACTAATATATATTTATATACTATTATTATTATTATTCTTCTTTTTCTTTATTATTTATTCATTATTCATTATTTATTTATTATTTATGAATGTAAATAGGATCGAGAATTTGATGAAGAAGCGGATGAAGATAGTGCGTATGTAGAATTTAGTTTACCAATGGATGAATATGAATATTATAATCTTATAGAACAAAATCGTAAGGCGGGATCTTCACGTGGAGCATCACCTTCACCTGCACCATCAAAAAAAGGAGGAGGACGTACTAAAGAACCTTCACGTTCTCCATCAAATTCTTCTCTTGAATCTTCACCGGAATTAGAAGGTGAATTATCATATATTATATTATATTATATTAATTATACTTACTTGAATTATATTTGTACTTGAATTATATTTATACTTGAATTATTAATTCATAAAATTTATTAAATTCTTAGATAATACACCCAATAAGAAAAGAAGAACGCGTACTACTACAAGAAAATCGGATGTAGTAGAATTTAATTCAGCAACGACATCAACAACCACCACCAAACGTGGAGGTAGATCAAGAAAAGCGTCTGATGCAGTTGCGACGTCAAGTGGAACTTCAAAACGTGGTGGTCGTAAAAAGAAACAATAATCAAAAAAAAAAATGCATATCAAATTTATACATATATAACAAATATTATTTGCATAAGACATAAAATGCACACACATATCACTCATTTTATCATTTAGTGTACTGTACATATACTGAAAATAATTGGAAAATAATTCATCACTTTTGTGAACATTTATGTAACATAAAAAATATTGATTATTATTATTATTTTTTTTTTTGAGAGAATTAAAATAAATATAATAATAATAATAGTAATGATAATAATAAAGTAATAATAATAATGATAATAATAATAATAAAAATGATAATAAAAATAATAATAATAATGATTAATAATAATAAACTTTAATATAACGGTTCTAAATAATTTTTTTTTTGCATATATGTTGAATCATTTAAAATTTTATAGTAAATTTAATTGGAAATATAAGATTTCGTTTAAACATTTTAAATTTATTTATTTCAATTAATTTATTGAAAATTCCAATGTAAAGATCATCTTTGTTATCTTTGTTATTATTTTTTCTTCTTTTACAATTTAATAAATAAAGCAAACAAAAACAAATAAAAACAAATAAAAACAAATAAAAACAAATAAGTAAAGAAACAATAAAATCTTCTAATATATTACAAAAACAAATTGCATATTGCACTTGTGTATATATATATATATATTTGTAATCTCTATTGAAAGTAATAAAGTTGAAGACACTAAATTCTTTCTTTTCTAAACTAAAATTTTTTTCTTCTTCTCTCTTAATTTTCTTTTCATTCGTTTATCTTTGGTTATATAAATAAAATTGTTGAAGTATGATGAGAAGGAATTTTTTACGTCTGGTGATTTGACAATGATGAGAAGAAGGAAGGGGGGGAGGAGGTGGAAGAGAAGGGAGAGGGAACATCATAGGAAATTTCATTCTATTAGAAAAAAAGAAAAAAAAAAAGATGAAAATGAAATAAAAATTATACAAGGTTAAGCAAATACATTTTTTTGTCCATCTATCTAAAACACACCCTCTAATTCACCCTCTCATTCCCACACTCACACTCACACTCACACTCACACTCACACTCACTCACTCTCATTCACACACAAACACACACACTCTCTCATATCTCATTTCTAATTCATTCATTCATTCATTCATCCATCTTAACACACACATCCGAGGATAAATCATCAGTATAGATGATTTTTATTTAATTTCATCTAATAATAAATTTTTTTTTTTTCATCTAATTTATTTTATAAATAATAATATAATAATAATAATAATAATAATAATAATAATAATAATAGTAATAAAATAATGATAATATAATACTATTATTAATATTACTAATATTTTGATTATTAAAAATTATTGAGTAATCATATTTCCTATAATGATATTTTCATGTGATTGTTGAATTTGAATCATTCTTGAAGAGTTATTAGATGATGATGACGGTGGTGGTGTTGATGATGATGATAATGATGGGGATGGTGATAAGTCGTCATCATCTTCTCCTCCTTCTTCTACCATCACTGATGTCGCTGTCGTTTCATCAAATCCCGTTTCTACCATTCTCACTTTTTTCCTTTGTTCATACCAACGATGCTTACGTTCTTTACTTTTCAATGTCGCCAATTCTTTGGAAATTTCCGCTCTTTCACGTTCAATTGCTTCTAATGCTATTTCCACTTTATCCAATCCTTCCGTATCTCCTTGAGTAGTCTTAATCCTTTTGTGTTCTTGCGCAGCTTCATATTGAGTTCCTTTGATTTGTAATTTATGTTCAAGTTCCGAAATTCTTGCGTTACGATTTTCACTATTCTGTGCGGCATGTAAATTTCTTTTTAATCGAAGGTTCACTCGAGATGATTTTATTCCAGGTTTAGGTGCATTGGGATTTAATTTTGAACGTGATTGACCTCTCTTATAAGTATAACCTTCTAATAAAAGTTTTGCTTTTGCTTTCTCGAATAATGTACCTCGATTAGCCATCAATGCTGGATCGGAAAGTGCTAATTCTATTGCTGCTTGATTAATCGCTTGTTCATATGATGTTAATTGCCTATCACTATTTTTACCATATATTTTAGCGTGATTTATAATTACATCCTTAGATGAAGTTGTTAATGTAGTTATTGTATTATTAATATTATTTATATTATTAATATTATTAATATTATTAATATTATTGATATCATCATCATCATCATCATTAATACTAATATTATTAATATCTGAATCATTTGGTGATATTCTAGGTGAATTTATTGTTGTTGAATGATGAGTTGATTCAAATGTTTCTTGAACTTCTTGCATGGGGGATGGTGGATGATTTATAAATGTTGTTGTAGTAGTAGAAGTCGTATTATTATTAGAAGGAGGTGGAAGAGGTGGATGAGGAATTGGAGGATGAGGATGAGGTGGATGAGGTGGGGATTCAGTAATTGATGTAATTGATTGTGATGATGATGATGATTCGCAATTTGCTGATTGTGATGACGATGATGTGAATCGTGAAGATGATGACATATTATGATGTGACTTTTCAAAAGGAATTAGTTGATTCTTTTCTCCTCCTCTTGTTGTTGTTGTTGTCATCGTTGAAAATGGTGTCTCTGTTGTAGGTGAAATTTTTCTTGAATTATTTAAATTATCGGAATGATGTGGATGTTGTTGATGTTCGATTAACTAAAATGATAATAAAATAAATAAAAAATGATAATAAAATAAATAAAAAATGATAATAAAATAAATAAAAGATGATAATAAAATAAATAAAATGATAATAAGATAAAAATGAAAAATGAAATAAAATGAATATTAATAAAATGATAATTAATTCTTAATTTCAATTAAAAATTCGATCGATTAAAATTAGATTTACCAATGGCAATGAAGGATTTGCCGCCAAATATGTCGAATGTATTGAAAAAGAATTAGAAGTTGTTAAGGGAGGGGGTGGAGGTGGATTATTTAAATTTACGGAGAGTGCATGTCTAAGTTCTCTTATCCCTTTTTTAAAAGCTGCGGAATGAAATGGTTTCATAGATACTGCGGATAAAACTTCTTTAATTTCAGCTTCATCAAAACCTAAAAATTGTTCTAAATCATTTTCACCTACACCTGCCACCTCAACGAATCGACCATGATATTGAGTTAAATTTAATTGATGAAGAAAAGCCGTTAATGTAGGACAACGATATGAAGAAGTAGTGGAAGAGGAAGAAGAAGTGGTGGTAGGAAGTGATGATAAAGGTGGAGGTGGAGAAGAGGAAGAAAATTGAGAGGAACCATAATAACCTGACGAACTATCGTCAGGAAGAGATTCTTCTTGAGTAGAGTTTGGGGTTGGTTGCATTCTTATTGATTCTTAATAAAAAAGTAATTCCAAAGTGATTCCAAGTGATTTCAAGTGATTCTAGTGTTTTTATTATTTTCTAATGACGTGTTAGGTAAGGTGTAAATAAAGTAGATGAGATACATTTTATATGTAAACAAAGTTTGAAATATTTGGAAATATACTGAAATATGAAATATATAAATATTCAAGTTTTTGATTCACGAGAAAGTTACCTTGATACAAAAAAATATTCGTTTGAAGAACTGTTAGTCAATCCAAATGTTCTGACGGTCTTGGTGGTTGTCTGTTCTATTATGAATTTGAAAGTCAAAGGTTTGGAAGTCAAAAGTTTGAAGTCAAGGGGAAGGAAGGTCAGTGGAAGTAATACAAGTAAATTTAAATGATGATGACATGCTATCTGTCATATCATATTTGTCATATTTGCATATTTGTATATCTTTTTTTTTTTTTTACTTATATAAATAACCTTTTTTATAAAATATAATAATATAAATATAAAACTTTTCGAAAACCCTAAAAACCCTAACGATCAAACATGGAAGGAGGTCGACCTAATAATAGAAGAAATAATGACTCAAAATATTTTAGAAGAAAAGTAGTTTTTGTTGACCCCGATGATCCCACCGCACCTCATTGGTGGCCAGCAATGGTAAGAATAACTTTAAAACTTCTTTTGATCCAATCTTTCTTTATTTATAGTTAATTTTTTTTTTTTTTTTTTTTTGCGGTAAAATATATTATTTTTATTATAATAATATATTTATAGGTTGTCCCCTTAAAAGAAATCGAAATCTTTAAACAAAAAATGGATTCCGATGTTAAATATCCTTCCAAAGGAGAAAATCTAGTTTGTTATTTTGAAGATGGATCATTTTCGATTGTAGCTGAACAAGATTTATTACCATTTGATCCTAATAATAAACCTTATATTACCTACATGGAAGGACCCAATTCAACAATATTTCAAAAAGATAAAGCAGTTGCTTTAGCCACATTATATTTTGAAAAAGGAATAATTCCACCTTCATTTAAGTGGCTTCGAAATGAAGATATTAATTCTACTGCCAATACTAATGTTATTAATACTAATACTAATTCTATTAATGTTATTAATACTACTACTAATAATAATAATAATATCAATATTAATAATGATAATAATAAGAATATTGGAGAGAGTTCAATAATAGATAATAATAATAATAATTGTATTAATAGTAATAATCATAATAATAATAATAATAATAATAATAATATCAATAGTAATAATGGAATTATTAATTTGGGATCATCAAATATTGGTTATAATAATAATAATAATAATATTGAAGGAAGAGAAAGAGGAGGAAATAAAGGATTTTCTGAAAAGAACAATAATCTTGTCAATGATGATAATTATAATTATAATTATAATAATAACAATAATACCATCAACACAACAACGATTACAAATAATAAAAGAAATTATAGAAAAGATTATTGTAATATTAATATTAATAGTGGTGAGAATTAATTTTTATTATTATTATCATCATCATCATCATTATTAAATTATATTGTTATTATTATTATTATTGTTATCATCATTATTATTTATCATTATATATTAATAGATCAAAATTATTATTTTAAATAAAAAAAAAAAGAAGGAAACGTCAAGAAAGAAAATCACGTTGGACCAAAGAAAGATTACATCTCGGGTCCAGGAAGAAAAGTAAGTGAAAATCTATATAATTTATATTAATCCTTTTCTTTTCTTTATTTGATCAATTCTAATGATTAAAAATTTTTAATATATTAAAAAATAACCACAAATAAAAAATAGCTACAGAATGGTGGATCAACAAATTCAGTAGTTAATTCACGTGCATCAAAACCAACCAAAACTCGAAGTATATCAAATGCTAATAATAAAAATCTACTAAATAATGGCAATAATTATAATTCATCATTAACAAAGCCAAATAACAATAACATTAATACTAATAATATCAATGATAATAATAATACTAATTATTATTATTCGCAACAAACAAATGACGACAACAACAATAAAAATAATGATATTATTGATTACTCTGGTTTCTTCAACAACAACAACAATAATCATAATCATAATCATAATCATAATCATAATCATAATAATAATAATAATAATAATAATAACGTCACTATCATTTCATCTATATCAAATCATAATAATAATCATCATCAATCATCATCATCTTCTTCATCATCATCATCGACTACATCAATAAATAATAATAATAATAATAATAATAATAATAGTAATAGTAATAATAATAATAATAATAATAATAATAATAATAATAGTAGTAATAATAATAATTATAATAATAATAATAATAATAATTATAATAATAATAATAATGCAACAACAACAACAGAACGCGTGACAACTTCTCGAACAAAACAATGTTTTCAATGTGGAGAGAAAACTACTGCACGTACCACTACCAATAATAATAATAATAATAATAATAATAATAATAATAATGATAATAATCATAAAGAATTATCATGTAGTAAATTATTATGTGGGGAATGTGGGGAATTATTAAATTCGTTTCTTCGTAATAACAATTACTATTGTAATAATAATTATAATAATTATAATAATTATAATAATTATAATAATAATAGTAAAGTGATGATGTCAATATTTGAAAATGATTATTATTGGGATCACTTTATAGAGAAGAAGAGAAAAACTCCAAATAAATTATGGGGAAGTGGAAGTGATAAGATTGAAATTAATATCTTGAATGATATTTTACCATCCAATAAACGTTCGAGATGGGAGAAAAGATCTGAAGGTATTTTTTTATTTTATTTTTATCACTAAAAATGCTTATTATTATTGCTTATTATTCAATAATGCTTATTATTATTATATTATTGCTTATTATTATTATTATTATATAATAGAAATAAGGGCGTATCATGATGGAATAACGCGTCAAGAAGAATTTCTTTGAGATGAAATGAAGATTTTAATATCATTACCATGATGAATTTCCGATATTGTATTTCGGTATATTTCAATTATTATTATTATTATTATTATTATTATTATTATTATTATTTTTATTTTATTATCATTTTATTATTATAATTTTATTATTTATTATTTTTTTATTTTATTCTATTTTACATTCTATTTTACACTCTATTTTATTTAAAAACTTGTAAATAACACATACAAAAAAATGAATCATTAATATTGTATTTTTTTTTTTAATAAATATAATTTTTTATTATTTTTTTTAATACATAAAATTATTGTAACAACAATAATAATCACCAATCAATATAAAGAATTTTTTTTATTATACAACAAATGATCAAATATTTGACTTTCAATCAATCAATCAATCAATCAAATAAGACAAATGTAATCTTAATCTTTAAATCCAAATCCACAAATATACTAACTCATACAAACTTACTATATATAAATATACCTTGGAATATATTATTTGGCTATTAAAGAAAGTTTAGGAATATCGTTTATAATTATAAATTAAATTGTTCGTTTATAAAATTGTTTTCGTTTTTTAAATTATTATTTCGTGGTAATTTTTAATCTTGTCAATTACTTATCATTTAATGCTTTCATTTTGCATTCAACGGCTCACCAACTAAAAAATTTTATAAAATTAAAATGTGAGCAGGAATATAATAATAATAATAATAATAATAATAATTATTATTATTATTATTATAATTATTATAATTATTATTATTCATAAAATTTAAATAAAAAATTAATTTGGTTACTTACTGTTTTTACCACGTAATCTTACGCCCAGTGCTCTTTCCAATTTACTAAGAACTTGTTGATTAGGAATAGTACGACTCATTTCGTAATCATTAATCTTAATAAATCAATTCAACATAGAAAAAAATAAATAATAATAATTAATTAATTAAATAAAAAATTAACTTACGTGAATAACTGTTTATACTAAATTCTATTTAATTAAAGTATAAAATATATATATATATATATATAATAAAATAATTTACTTACCACATTAGCTTTTTCATTAATTTTTTGTCCAAGATCTTTTTGATTTAATCCTTTGGTTTGACGAGCTTGTTGAATCGCTTTTCCTACCGTTAAACTAAGTTTTGGTGGTGGTGCTACTTCATTCTCTCTATCAAGTTTTGCTATCCTTTGGTGATCACTGCTCGAATGAGATTTATTAGTACCACCAGCGTCTATAATACCAAAAAATATATATATATAAATAAATATATATATCTTAAAAAAAAAGAAATCCTATACACTCTATTTTTAATGATGATTATTATTATTATTATTATTACTCACTTTTACGTTCTATTCCAACGACAGCTCCAGCTCGACGAGCTGCATTGATTGCTGCGTCACCCTTAGTTACTTTAGCATGTTCAGTACGCTTACGAAGGATTGTAGGATTATCCCAATCATCACTCATAATGATAGATTATTTATTATTATTATTATTAAAAAGGATATTAAAGATATAATATAAAAAAAGTGTGGTAGTTTTTTTTTTTCCTCTCCGTATTCACAGTATTTATACCCAATTATTAGTTTAAATTAAATGGTGACACGTGTTTAATCGTTAGTCAACAATGGTTATAACGGAATAATGCAAAAATAAATTCCGTCATATCATTTATCAATTCATCATCTACATCAGTTTTTTTCGGGGACGATGATGACTATCCGAACTCCAACAACGTTGAAGAGAATAAATACTAATTTCTTTATGACTAAAAAATACAATAATAACTTTAAATATCTTTTAGGATGTATTAATAATAATAATAGTAGTAATAGTAATAATTATTCTAGTATTTCAAAGAATAATAATATTATTAAAACCGAAAAAAATGGAAAAGGACCTTTATCAGGATATAGAATACTTGACCTAACGCGTATTTTAGGTTGGTAGTAGTTTTAATTATTAAAATATTTTTATATTTTAAAATATTCTTAATAAAATTTATTATTAAAATTCAAATATTATTTAGCTGGACCTTATTGCACAATGTTATTAGGAGACCTTGGGTAAATAAAAATTTCATAATAACAATAATAATAATAATAATAATAATAATAATAATATTTTTTTTAATATTTTATTGTTTATTTATTTATTTGATTTTAAGAGCGGAAGTGATAAAAGTAGAAAATCCAATTACAGGAGATGACACAAGATCATGGGGTCCCCCTTGGGCAAAAAATTGTGATCCCAATGATAATTCATTACCTGAGAGTGCATATTTTTTATGTGTGAATAGAAATAAAAAATCGATTACTGTAAATTTAAAATCACCTGATGGTATCAAAATAATTAAAGAATTAGTAAAGAGATGTGATGTATTGGTAGAAAATTATTTACCCGGAAAATTAGATAAATTGGGTTTAGGATATGATGAATTAAGTGAAATCAATCCTCAATTGATTTATACTTCGATTACTGGTAATTTATTATTTAATATTTATTTAATATTTATTTAATATTTATTTAATATTTATTATTATTATTATTATTATTATTATTATTATTATTATTATTATTATTATTATTTTTATTATTATTATTATTATT